TATATATATATATATATATATATATATATATATATATATATATATATATATATATATATATTTATAGCTTTGAAAGTCGCGCAACCTTTGGTGCATCATGTATCACTTGAAAACATAGTTACACGAATCACGCGATTATTTAGCGCGTATTCTATGTTATAATATTATTAATATTCTACATTATATTACAATGTTTAATTATTTAATATGCGTTTATCGTATTTTTGTGTATTGTAGAGCTATTGATTATTATAACAATTGTTGATGATGATCAATTGTGATCAATGATGATCAATTGTTACGGACAAACTCAATAATAGTCTTTGACGTGATAGTAAGCACATCAGATGATGTCGTAGGCTCTATTACAGATTTTAAATTATGTATTCAAGATTACAAATGGTTAAATGAGCTATAGAGAATCTGTATATTTTGCATATAACTTTTTTAAAATTATTTAATCTTTTATTATATCAATATTCTACATGTGCATTTAACTTCAGATAGAATATATGTGATAGATAAATATTAGACAAATACTATTAATAAATAATGAGATTAATGAAAAAGTATAACAACAAAATTTGTTTTTTCATCGTCTTACTAATATTATTTACTATTGCATATCTTTATACAAATTGGAAATTCTGAAGAAATGAAAAGGAATATGTTGTTAAGATAAAATTGTTATCATCCAATGTTGTATGCATCCAATAATGCTATGTATATGCTAATTTTTATTCCAATTTAAATTGCATACTTATAACACAAGGATTTGAAAAATAGAAAAAATCAATAGCAAATTCAAAATAGAATTTAAGATTTATAGAGAATTTGCAAATTATTATTATTTATGAGATTTAGAATATAGATTATCCAATTTTATTGACACTCGATTATTGATTTCCTTGGTTATTGACACTCTAAAAAAATCAAGTTTTTCTTATAACTAGTGGGGATTGTTCACAGTTTTAGTTAAATTTATAAATCTAAATTAGCATATATATATATATATATATATATATATATATATAGCATTATTAAATGTATAACAGCAATTTTATCCTAATGACACATTCCTTTTTCTTCTTTAGAATTTTCAAATCGTATAGAGATATGCAATAGTAAATAATATTAGTAGTAAAGTTGTCTTTTGGAATCATTGAGTACTGGCAAGAAATTTA